CGCTGTATCTCTATTAGTGATTTTTTCATATTCAACTTTAGAGATAGCATTTAGAAAAATATTTCTAGCTCTATGATGATTTTTAAAATCATCTTTTTGTTGTCTATCCATATTTTTTCTATCCACTTTGTTTCCTTCTGAATCTGTAGGATGTTTGCAACCATCCAAGACTATATCCCAAAGATCACTATCATGACCTAGAAAGAAACTTTCTAGTCTATCTTTCCAGTACTCAAAATCTGCTCCATCAAACACTGGAGGTTTGTTGTAACTATTATTGTTTTATTCAGTGGCCATTGTGTTTTCTTCTGGATCTTTTCCTGACACGGTTAAGTGTTGTGCTCAGAGTCAAGCTCTGATACCAATTGAAGGGGTAAGAAAACACTTAGAAGGGGGGGTTGAATAAGTGACTCTTTTCGTTTTCAAAACAAAGCTCAAACAATAATGGAAGAACACCGTTATTTTTATCCTGGTTCATTTGAACTCAAACTACTCCAGTCCATCCGCCAAGGTGATTTCGCCTTTCTCAACAAGGACTTAATCCACTATAATCAATTGATTACAAACACACAACAACTGTTGTGACTAACAATGCACAAGTAATCTTACAAGTGACTAACACCACTAAGACTTAAATTTAGTCCTAGTCTGCTTGAGAAATTTGACCAAACTTGGTCTCTCAAGGAACAAATACAGGAGTTTAATCTTTACAGATAATGAAATAGAGTTTTCTTCTAATCAAGCTATATCACAATTGTGATTTTTCACTTAGATTATAATGCACAAAAATTGTATCAACAATGAGTTTGTGAGCTTAGAATCTTTCACGTAGTTTCTTGCTTCTAATTTGAAAATAGATTGGTTCAGTTGTTTTTTTGTTGTTGGCTTGCAATAAATGTCCTTCTATTTATAGTAGGAACAATAAGACCGTTGCTGCCTTCCGAAAAGTTGGAGAGCATTAAATGCTTGCGTGTTTCCTTGTAATATTCCATTTTCCAAGAAACTAGTTGTAGGCACTTGAGTGCTTTCAGTCGTCTTTGCATTAATGAGCAAACGACAGAATGTAAGAACATATTTCCTTTGCTTTGACAAGACAAGTTGATCTTAACGTTATTTCATAATTTTCTCCAATGTCTTTAAGTCAGAACATGCTTCACTCATCTTCTAGGCAGTGCGTTGCTTGCTAAGAACTTTGAACAGCGCTTGCTTTCAAGTAATCTTCTGAGCAAGGATCCTGCTAAAAGTTAGAAGATATATTTAACAAATAAAGTGTCTTACCAGAGTCAGCAGATGCGCTTGAAGAAAAGGTTCTTTTATCAAAGAACATCTACATAATTTTTGCTTAACACTTCAGAATGTTTTCTGTCAGAATATTAACTGAGACATTCAAACACATTCATCAGAGTATAAATTATCTTAAATATAATTTAGTTATCATCAAAACTCTTGAGATAGGTCAGAACTAATCTTGTTCTTTCAAGAACTAATCTTGTTCTTTCAAATAGGTCAATCCCTTTTTTGAAATACCCGCATAGAAATAGGCTACTGACGTAAGTAAAGCTAATGCAACAATAGTATTTATATCATTTGTGGGTGCAGCTAACTCTCCATGAGGTAACTTTATAATTTTCCAAGGCAAAAGGGCCCCTGACCAATTCGAAAATAAAATAAATAGAAATAGAGTTCCAATAAACGGAACCCATAGACCATATTCTCCAATCTGAGTTTTGCTCACGTCTCGAATGAATTCAAGGACATATTCAAAAAAATTCTGACCAGACGTGGGAATAGTTTTCGGGTTTCTAACAACTAGAATGGTTGAAATTAATAAGATAACAATTATAACCCAAGAGGTAATAAGTACTTGAGCATGCACTTGAAAATCCCCTATTTGCCAATAGAAATGTTGACCTACTTCCACAACAGATATATCATAGAATCTGTTTAATGTGTTGATGTAACATAATAGAACATTCATATTGCCCTGTCCTCTAAAATAAAAATATATACCTTGAAAGGGAATTATTTTGATTCAACCATTTCCTTATTTTACTTTGATTTTCTATTTTGTATACCTACTAATCACAAAATATTTCTTTTTACACAATTTCAAAAATCTATGACCGCACGCCCAACCAAATCTAAAAATTGATTTATCTTATTATTAATCAATTTTTTTGTATATAGCTAGAACGACCCTCACAAATTGCAAAAACTAATTTGTTAAGAATTAATCAGATGGAAGCTATAGCATCATCATTATCCGGAATCAAAATTTCTGCAAGATCTGGGTCACAATTTGTATCAATTAAACAAATTGTTGGAATTCCCAAAGTGATACATTCTTGAAGAGTCGTATATTCTTCTTGCTGATCAACGATTATTACAATATCAGGTAATCCTGTCATATATTTTATATCGCCTAGATATCTTTCCAAATGAGATAATTGTCTCTTCAACATAGCGGTATCTCTTTTTGGAAGAGAGTTCAGTTTCCCCGTCTTTTGCTCCGTTCTCAAGTCCCTGAACTTACGAAGTCTCGTTTCTATAGTATACCAATTTTTTAACATACCTTTGTGCCATTTTTTATTAACATAATAACATCGAGCTCTTATTGCAGCCCATGTTACTGAATCAGTTGCTTTTTTTTGTGCTAACAATTAAAAATTGTTTTCCTGTGCTTGCTGCATCAAAAGCCAAATCACAAGCTTATGATAAAAAACGAGCAATTTTAGTAAGATTTGTAATATGAATACCTTTACGTTTTTCCGATATAAAAGGTGCCATTCAAGGATTCCATTTCCTAGGATCATGGCCAAAATGAACCCCAACTTCCATCATCTCTTCAAAAGTGATGTTCCAATATCTTTTTGTCATTTATCCCCACACTTACTTTAATAAAAGAAATTGAAGAAAAAAAAGAGAGACCCAGTATCCCGAAATAACAATATATAATTGTTCCAATAGAACCTTCTCTTTTATAGACGATTGGCCGTTAAGATAAAATCAGGCCATTCTTTTATTTCTATTTATTAAAATATTTTTATAAACAATATTATTGTTATAAATGAGAACAACTTTACTAGTGATTCAAATATTTTTATAAATATTATAAAAGCAAAAATAATATTTATATATGGGAAAAATAATTATTGATTTAAATATTTTTATATATGAGAATAACTTTTCTATTGATTCAAATATTTTATAAATAATGCCTACAAAAATAATATTTATATACAGAAAAAAATATATTGTTGAATATATTTTTATATACAAGAAAAAAAATACTATTGTTATAAACGAGAACAACTTTACTATTAATTTAAATATTGATAATAAAAATTTATCCACCATTTTTTTTTCAAATATGTGAAAAAGATTAAGAGAGATTATTAAAAAAGATTGAGGATATATTTTAAAATTGTATTAATCTCTCTTATATATAATTATTTTATTTGTAAAAAACTAAAACGACTAATAAGTGTATTACTATTTCAACTTAAGTTTATTATTAATCTTCAATTTTTTCTTTTTTTAAACTTCCTATTTTTATTACAGCCTGTAAACAAATGTGTATTCAATACTTATTGATATGTTTGAAAGACAAAATTCTTACTTTTAATTGATCAAAATATGGAAAAATATTTTGATATTGACACATAAAATTATGATTTCAAATATTTAACGTATATTTTAAGAAAAAATTTGTAAGTTATATTATTGAAAAATAGTTAAATTTATATTTTTATAATATTTTATCAAAAAAATAGGTTAAATTATATTTAATTATGTGTCAAATGTTTTTTATTTGTCAAGTCAAATTTTATTGTTGATCTAAATATTTCAATTTATATTGTTGATCCACGTATTTTTATATTTTTACCGTTAAATTATTGATCTAAAATGTTTTATTATACCGATAAAATATATATTATTGATTCACGTATTTTTATATTTTATTTATTTTATTTTTATCTATTATATATTTGTCTTATATATTCAATGCAATTTTTCTTTTTATTTATATTTATTATTGCTACAAATAAACGGGAAAATATGTATTGTTGATACAAATATTTGTATTATAGAAATTTTTTTATTATTAATACAAATATTTGTATAAACGAAAAAAGAGTATTATTGATACAAATATTTTATAAATAAAAAAAAATTATATTATTGATATAAATATTTTTAACAGAAAAAAAATATTAATGAAACAAATATTTTTATAAATAAAAAATAATAATATTATTGACACAAATTTCTTTTATAAGAAAAAAAATTATTTTTAATATAAATATTTTTATAATTAAAAATAACATATTATTAATACAAATATTTTTATAAATAACAATTTATATATATAAAAAAAATCACGTATCACACCAAAACCCGTGTATATACGTTGATTTGTTACTAGTAAACTTATTAAAGAAAATTAATATATTCATCTTTTCACCTACAATAATTATGACAATATTAAATTTAATTAGGATAACCGATTAAAAGTATTACAAAAATATTTTATTTCTACAACTTTTTATTATTATGTGTGGCATGGTCAAACAAATATAATTTATTATTGGTACATAGTTTATAAATTTTGTAAAAAAGTAAACTATGAACCTAGTCTGAATGGTAGGAATGTCCATAACTATTTACATTGGACGATAATTTTCAAACATTTTTTGTTACATTAAGGAATCATCAAACAGAACAACATCACTGTTCGATCTTGTTGAATAACGTGAGTGGCTTTTGTTCCCTCTGATTCCTAATCTTGTCATTTCCAACCACATTCTTCTCTGACCCCTTCTCAACTAATCTTCTCTTTTATTGCTAGCATGTAATTGTCATTGCGGCCTATGGTGCCATCATAGCTGAATGGCATGATAGATTTTCTGACACCATCGACAACAATGCTTTTAGTTTAATACATTTACATTTTCTTATCCTAATTCTTTTTTTTCCTGTTTGAAAATTATATTTTGTAGATGGGAGAGGTGGCTAAGGATCTTACAGCCGGTACAGTTGGAGGGGCTGCACAACTGATATGCGGACATCCCTTTGACACCACTAAGGTAAAGCTACAAAGCCAACCTACAGCACTCCCAGGTCAGGTTCCCAAGTATGCTGGTGCAGTTGATGCCGTCAGGAAGACAATAGCCGCCGAAGGTTTAGGCGGTTTATACAAAGGAATGGGCGCCCCACTCGTTACGGTAGCAGCCTTCAATGCCGTCTTGTTTACTGTAAGGGGGCAGATGGAATCATTATTGAGGTCTCACCCAGGTGCTCCACTCACAGTGAGTCAGCAGTTTGTTTGCGGAGCCGGAGCTGGTTTTGCAGTTTCCTTTCTTGCTTGCCCAACTGAATTAATCAAATGCAGGTAGCTCATTGTTCTCGATTTCATCCTTTTCTATGTGTAGATTTTTCATTGAATTTTATCTCTTTTGAAAATGTTCGAAGCGAGTGGCTATTTATTTTATTTGTTTTATGCTAATAAATCTTATTAATTAGATAGTGTAGTTGTTCTGTTATCCTATTAATTAGGAATTGTTGTTGTTAAGTTAATTTAATCTATTAAGATATTCCTACTTTGTAGGTAAGTGTGGTAGTTGTGACGTAAGGTTATTTAAAAGGGTCATTTGTTTTCATTCGATAATAGACGAGAACTTTCCCTTCATATTAATTTATTTTTCTCTGTGATACTTGACATTTGGTATCAGAGCTCCGCAAGGAGCCTGACTACCTGAAGCAACCGTCTTCTGTGAACATTGACAATGGCAATTGAAGGAAGCAGTAACGGTTTTGTGAAGCCATTAATACCAAAGCTTGATGGTCACTATGATTATTGGAGCATGTTGATGGAGAATTTTTTGAAATCGAAGAAATATTGAGGTCTAATTGAGGAAGGAATTCCAGAAGTAAGGGATGAAACAACCCTGACTGATGCACAATTAAAGGCAAGAAATGAGTTAAAGCTGAAGGATCTAAAGACGGAGAATTACTTGTATCAAGCAATTGATCGAGTTGTTCTCGAGACTATTCTCAAGAACGATATTGCAAAAGACATATGTGACTCCTTAAAGAAGAAGTATTAAGGCACTAGCAGAGTCAAGCACGCTCAATTACAAGCTCTTCGTAAAGAGTTCGAAATTCTAAAGATGGAGGCTGGAGAATCTGTTGATGAGTATTTTGCAAGGACGTTGACAATCACAAACTAAATGAGGATACATGGAGAGAAGATGGAAGACGTGACAATTATAGAGAAAATTCTACGCTCTATGACATCTAAATTTGAATATGTGGTACGTTCAATAGAAGAATCAAATGACATTGATATTATGTCAATAGAATAAGTTACAAAGTTCATTGTTAGTGCATGAACAATGCATGTCAAACCATATTGAGGAAAAGCAAGCTCTCAAAGGGACACATACCGGAAATGGAAGAAGCAAATATCAAGGAAACTTTAGAGGAAGAGGAAGAGGACATGATCGTGGCACTAGAGAAGGAAGTTTTTACAAGTCATCCATTGAATGCTACAATTGTCACAAAATTGGTCACTTTCAATGGGAATGTCCTCGTAATACAGAAGAAAAGGAAAATTTTGTTGAAACAGGTGAGGAAGAAATATTATTGATGGCTTACACTGAGAAAGAGCAAGCTAAAATTAGGGAGATCTGGTTCCTTGATTCTGGATGCAACAATCACATGACAGTTAACAAAAACCTTTTTTGTGATTTAAATGAAAGTTTCCAACAAAGTGTCAAGCCTGACAATAACTTTAGCATGAGTGTTTTGGGAAAAGGAACTGTTAAAGTACACATGAATAGGAATATGCAGAATATACATGATGTGTATTATGTACTAGAGCTTAGAAAAACATATAATAAGCCTGGGCCAATTGCAAGAAAAAGGTTGTGCAATTGTAATTCAGAAGGGTACGTGCCAAATTCATGATCCAAAAGAGGGACTAGTTGTTGTTGTTAAGATGTCTGGGAATCAAATGTTTCAACTACAAAATGATACTTTTGAAGATCAAACTTGTTTCAAAGTATCTATTTCAGATCCTTCATGGTTATGGCGTTACAGATTTGGACATTTAAACTTTAATGGACTCAGAACCTTACAGCGAAAAGAAATGGTAAAAGGGTTGCCTCAAATTGAAACTCCGTCTCATGTGTGTGAAGAATGTGTAATTGAAAAGCAGCATAGGAAATCATTTCCTCAAGAGTGTACTTGGAGAGCTAATCAGGTCCGTCATCTAGTGCACTCAAACATATGTGGTCCGTTAAATCCAACTTCAAACAACAATAAAAGGTACTTCATAACTTTTACTGATGACTTTAGTAGAAAAACATGGGTATATTTTCTAAAGGAAAAATCTGAAGCCATTGAAATGTTTAGGAGATTCAAAGAAAGATTTGAGAAGGAGATAAAACAACATATTCAATACCTTCGAGCAGATTGTGGGAGAGAATACACATCAACCGAGTTTATGGATTTGTGTGAAAGAAATGGAATCAAAGGACAATTGACTGCAACATACACACCACATCAAAACGGTGTGTTGAAGAGGAGGAATAGAACTATCATGAATATGTTGAGAAGTTTGTTAGCAAATAAGAATGTCCTGAAGAACTTTTTTCCAGAGGCAGTGTTCATATTCTCAATCGATGTCCAACATTTTTGGTGAAGAATATGACACCTGAAAAAGCTTGATTGGTCGCAAACCCGTTGTTGATCACTTTAGAATATTTGGTTGCATAGCTTATAATGTGCATGTCCCTGATCCAAAGAGAAAGAAACTTGATAATAAGGGAGAGAAATGTGTACTACTTGGCGTAAGTGAAGAATCTAAGGCTTATCGTTTTTACAATCCTTTAACAAAGAATATTTTTATTTCTAAAGATGTTGTCTTTGATGAAAAGATTAGATGAAATTGAGAAAGCCACATTAAAGGAAAAATCATTGGCTCTTGAACCAGAGGACAATAAGAGTGCAGAAAATAGGAGAGGGTGCACATGGAAATTTGGAAGAATCAAATGAACTTGGATATGATCATGGAAGTGAAGATGTTGAAACATCACTACAAAATATGCCACGTCAAAGGAGAAGACCAATTTGGATGAATAATTACATAAGTAGTGAAGAGCTCTCTGATGAAGAGACATTGGCTCACTTTGTTAGTGTAAGTGATCCCATTTCATTTGACGAGGAATTTAAAAGTGAAATATGGAGAAATTCTATGGATTTAGAGATTGAAGCAATTGAAAGAAATAATACATTGTGAAACAACCGGCTGAAAATCATCAAACAATAAAGTCGCTATCGAACGTCTTTTATCCCACATGAAGGGAAAGGTAAACATCAAGAAAACCTGAGAAGGGAGAAGTCACGGTCTTGCGACCGAGAGATCGAGTAAGGGAGTCTGTTACGCGAGGGGAAGGTATTAGCACCCCACACGCCCGCAGTACTCTACGGTTTCCACTCTTGTTGTCTATCTTATGGGTGTGTCTAATCTATGCTTACTGTTTACTATACTACTGAAGGGAGAATGCATGCAAAAGAAAATAGAAAAGAATGTAGGGAAAATAAAATTGTACTCCTTGGGCCTTACCCCAATGCCTACGTATCCTTTTTGAGAAATCAGAGCTACCGTAGTTCGGCTCACATGTTTTGTTTGTTTCGTGTTTTTTATGGACGATGTTAATTCAGTCTTCTGCCGCAGCTCGACCTTTGGAGACTCATGCGTTGACACAGAAGTGAGTTAATCATGTCCTTACCTGAAAAGGGTTTTTAGAGAAAAGGTGCTCGAGCGCAGAAAATGGTTTGAATTGGTTTGTGTTTTATTACCTTGAAAAAGGGTTTAAGTGAGATTAACACGTTTTTTGATTTGCTAAGAAAAGAAGTTTTAGGTTTAGATGCAAGGATGCAAAAAGGGGAAGGAAAGAGTCTAAGGCAGCGTGGCCTATTTCTAACCTAATGTTATCATACAATGGTGGTACTAATGTTTGAATTAACAATGGGGAACGTCTACCTAATGTTAGCATGCATGATTTACAATCTAAGGTCTAACTCGCATCCGAATGGAGCAAGTGCATCCTAAGGGAACATGGTATGTACAAGGATAAATCAAACAAGCCAATAAACTCAAGAGAGCACACCTAAAGAGATCCTATCTAGGTCAACATGCCAAAGAAAGTCTAACAAAACTATCTTATAGGGAACATGCAATGAGAGCGAAGTCGTGATCTCAATTTCTAAATTGAGTGACTCATCGGCCAACAGGAAATAAAGGAAAGCGATAAAATCCTATAGGGAGCATGCAATGAGAGCGAAGTCGTGATCTCAATTCCTAAATTGAGTGACTCATTGATCAACAAGAAAGTAAACAAACACAAGCATAACACATATAGAAAATGAAGTGCAGAATGCCTGTTACAGGTCTTTAAACAGCGACTTCGAGCGCACGTTCTTTATTTCCTACTTCTCATGGTATATAGAAAGCAATAAAGTGCGAAAATGAGGAATAAAATGAGGTTGTGATGATACCGAACGGAGAAGGTCCATTGCCTCTTCGAAACCGTGCAAGCAAAGAGAAAACTCTACAAAAAGCTTCTTTGAGCTTCCTTGATGAAAATTACGTCAATCATTCTATCACAAAATCTTAGCTAAAAATGTGAAAATGATTATTAAACATAAAATAAGAGAAAACTATAATAAAATTCTAAAGAGAAAACTCAAAAAGAATTCTAAAATATTCTACTATTTTTGTATCATTATCATCATTAAAATCATAAAAAAATGAAGCTAAAATTAATAACATGGAAAGATAAAAGTAGTAGAAACAGAGGGGGTGTAGTTTTGAGCCCCAGGGGCATGCTGTAGCAAGTCAGCATGTGGCACTAAGCCTTTCAAAAATAAAGTCCATGAAGCAACTCCCCTTTTTTTGGATCAATGCCTGTGAGACGTTGCTTCAGGCGCATGGGTCTATGGTTCTGAGCCCAACAAAGTTGTAACACACAATCAACACTTAACCCAAAAAGAAAAAAATACAATGAAAAATGGAAATTAAAAGGTAGGCTCAAATGATGTTGTTTTGGATCAACATCTCGTGTGACTGCGCATGTAAACCCTAGTATCATCCCTCTCCAAGTTTCGTTACTCAACCTCCCTTCTGATTACCAGCTTCTTTGCACCGACGTTGCCCCTAGTGGCGGAGGAGGCTCAAACGACCTCTAACCTACACTGGCCGCTTCGCCTCTACTCCCTCTCTTACAATACCTTCTTCGATTTCTCCAATCCTCACCACAAACCTCCAAATTACTCTGGCCGCGGTAATGGACGTCGAAATTCCGGTGACTCTACGAGCTCAAGTAAGTCTATCTTCCTCCTCGTTTCTTCTTTTTCTTGCTTCTTCTTCACTTCACTGATTTTGTCTTTGATTCTGCGATGCGTTTCTGTGTGTTGTGTGGATCGAGTGCTTTGTTAAGAAGCGAAGGGTTGATACACTGTGCTGATGATCATGCTTTTGCAGAGACGTGGATTATTGTTGCGGATGAAGATTGTCAATGCACGTTGCGGATTTGTGATGTTGATGATGATGACAAAAATACGGTGGCTTTGTTGCGATGAAGATGATGTTGAAATGTTGAAGCAGATGAAGATTAAGGCGATGATTAAAGAGAGCGTGATGTGAAGATTGAAGATTGGAATTGCAGATTCACATTGATGATGGAAGTGCAGAATGAAGCGGTTGATGGAGCTTGAAGTGTGGTTATGGAAAAAGTGTATTGATGCGGTTGTAGAGAGAAAGCAGAGGGAAGATTGAAGACAGAGCTTTTTGAGTTGCTGGTGATGATTGAAGATGCAGAGAGTTGAGATGAAGATGATATTGAAGAATGATGATGAAGATGCGGATTATGATGGTTGAGGATGGAAGAGAGAGAGAATGGAGATCGAGCCCCAACTGAAAAGGTGAGTCCCTCTTTATGTGAATCTTTTTGTTGAATAACTGTTTTTAATCCTCTCCGCCATTCTGTGAATTTTCTCCTTTTCTGTTATGCCTCTCAACTCTCTCCTCTCTTTTCTGTTATAGGTTTTTGTTCATTTGTTGAGATGTTAGTTAGAAAAGGTTAGGACGTTGGAGGTTGCTTTGACAATTAGTTGTGGTTAGGAAAACAATTAGGGATTTAGTTTTCTGTTATGATTCTCTTAGAATTTGGCCTTTTGCTAACTGTTATGAAGTTCTGTTTTGATGTAGTCTGAAAATGTTTAGAAATTAGTTAGAGATTGGTTATAGGATATTTTGGTTTTTGTTAAGAGTTAGTTATGCAGGGTTGTTAGAAGGTTGTTTAAAAACTGTTTGGAATTAGTTAGGAAGTTATATGGATTAGTTGGTTAGCGGCTATTATAAACAATTAGAAAATGGTTAGAATGAGCTGAGTTGGTTCCTAGGCCAGTTTGAAAGATGCTGCACTGATTTGGCCAGTTAGTTTTGGAACTGAATTGTGACCTCTCTGACCTGATTCTCTATTTTTTCTATTTCCGATTTCTTGGTTTTGATAATATCTGAATCAGTTTGGTCTTCACTGCTAACACGGGTTTTCGGTCCATAATTCTCTGAGCTATTTTATGTTGTAGAAGACTGAGTTGGTGCTATTTATGCAGGTTTCTGCCCTGTTTTCGGACAGATTTTGAGAAAGGAAGGCGCATAGAATTTGGCATGGAGGAAACTCAGAATCGAGTGCAACACGAATTTGAAAGAAGAGGTTGCAGGGTTGCGGTTTATTTGTGAAGCCACTTTGAAGAGGATGCATTATGAAAGGCCCTAAAGTATGAAGAAGGGGTGGAGCTTAGAATTAACTTCTTTCTTGCAATTTGTTTTTTTGTAAAGTTTATATGATAATGATGTAATATAGATTTGTAATGGTTTCTTTTGTGGACTATCGGTGTAATGGTTTTGGATTATTTCTAATATGTGAATATGCTTACGATCGAAACTTGGAAAGTGACATGGTGAACTCGGATAAACCGTGATATTATGTAACAACTTGAAATTGCAATGGGTTTTTTCTCTTAATGGACAAGTTTGGATATGTATCTTTTCTTTTTGGTTTTGTATGATGATGTATTGGATATTCGAAGTCATAATAATTTGATTTAACAAACATGCCTCATGAATCTTTGAATTCACATGATATTTCTTTCAAAAGGTTCAAAGTGATTTTCCTTTCCAAGTTTAGAACTCAAATTCACAACTTCCTTTGACTTTGCACTCATATGTGAATCCCTGTGAGCTTTTGAAGGAACCCTTTGCTATGTGAAATAAGATTTGAACAATGATGAATGACACCTGAATAACTCTTAAGAAAACCTTATCCACAAACTCTTCAATTTTGCAAGCAACATTTGATTTACTTAAACACATTAGGCAACTTGAATGAACCCTCACCAATCAATAAATCCAGATCAATTATTCCAATTCAATCTCAATTCCGGACCAATTTATATTGTCAGCGAAAAGTAACAATGATGAGAACCAGAATTTCCTTAACCTGAATGAGCTCATAAGGTTATCTCCCATGCCATTACTTGCACTTGTATTTCACCAAAAAATGCGTTGAAGAGTCTTTGAAACTGAAAAGGATACTTGGAACAGAGGAGAGCACCTCTGATGAACCTTAACTGAATTAACAAGTGCAAGCACCAGGGATAAAACCCTAATCCTCTTGAGATGCATTTGAGATGTTAAGAAGGCCCAAACCCTAGCTTGCAAAGTCTCTATTTGAGATTTTAATGAAAATCCCCGCATTGACAAGTCACAACCCTTTGATGGTGAACTTGATGATCTTTGTAGCTTGATGAGGATAAAGCTCTCAGTGACCCCAAGCACAAAAACCCTAGTTCCATAGACCATGTTGATGATGAAACCAATTGATCCCTTAAGTGAAGAAGAGAGCCTTAAAGCCATACAACAACCCTAATTCCTCAATACCTTAGATCCCATGCCCATTTGATTGATTAATGAATGAATGATGTATTAGATGACCTAATGGAGTTATGTACATGAGAAAAGCGCAATAATACATAAGCCAAATAAAAGTGAAATAGGTAGGAAAAATTTGGGGTATTACACATGGGAGTTAGTGGAGCTTTCAGAAGGAGGAAAAACAGTGGGAGTAAAATGGATTTACAAAACAAAAGTGAATGAAAAAGGAGAAATTGACAAATTCAAGGCCCATTTAGTAGCTAAAGGGTACACTCAAGAGTATGGAGTGGACTATTCAGAATTATTTGCTCCAGTAGAAAGTCATGACACAATTAGAATGGACATCTCATTGGATTCTCAAAATAATTGGATTATCTTTCAACTTGATGTCAAGTCTGCATTTTACTTGGAGAACTTGTGGAGCAACTATTTATGGAACAACCCCCGGGGTATGTAAAGAAGGACAACAAACATATGGTTTACAAGTTGAAAATATCTCTTTATGGATTGAAACAAACTCCAAGAACTTGATATATTTGGATTGACACCTAGTTCAAAAAAGCAGGTTTTCACAAGTGTCCTTATGAGCATACACTTTCCATCCAAACTGAAGAAAAAGGTAAATTTTATTGTATGCTTATATGTGGATGATTTGATATTTACTGGAAATGATGAATTCTTATTTAGAGAGTTTAAGAAATCAATGATGAAAGAATTTGAGATGACTGATTTGCGAGTGATGAAATACTTTTGGGGCATAGAAGTAATTCAATCTGCAGATGGCATTTTTCTTTGTCAAAAGAAATATCCTCAAGAGGTATTGAAAATATTTAAAATGGACGATTGTAATCCAGTTCAAATCCCTATAGTTCCTGGAACTAAACTGACTCGGGGTGATGAAGGAGTGAAGATTGACAACACTTACTATATGCAAATGGTTGGAAGTCTAATGTACATGATGAATACTCAACCAAAATTAATGTATGTTGTCAGCCTCATTAGTAGATTTATGGAGTCACCAACTGAACTCCATCATCGAGCAGAAAAAAATACTTTGCTACTTGAAGGGTACCATTAACTATGGGGTTTTCTATAAGAATAGTGAAAGAAATTTGCTAGTTGGTTTCACTGATAGTGATTATGCTAGTGATTTGGAAGATCGCAAAAGTACATCTGGTTATGTATTTCTCTTAAGTGGAGCTGCAGTCTCATGGCCTTTAAAGAAACACCTTGTTGTGACTTTATCTACAACTGAAGAAGAATTTATAGTTGCAACAGCATGTGCTTGTCAAGGTATTTGGCTTAGAAGAATTTTGGAAGAGGTAAAATGTACATAATAAGGTCCACCCACTTATGTTATTTTGTGACAACAACTCAACCATTAAATTGTCAAAAAATCCAGTTCTATATGGAAGAAGTAAACACATCGATGTGAGGTTTCGTTTTTTCTGCGATCTCGTTAAAGAGGGAGCAATAGAACTATGCTACTGTAAAGTGATGAGTAAATTGTCGAAATTCTTACAAAACCTCTGAAAGCTCATTCTTTTTTGAAGTTAAGGGCATTACTTCACATGTGTTCAATTGAAGAAATAAATTGTTTGCTTATGAGCATTCAGTTCAAGGGAGAGTGTTGAAGTTAGTGGCTATTTATTTTATTTTTTTTTGCTAATAAATCCTATTAATTAGGAAGTGGGGTTGTTTTGTTATCCTATTAATTAGGAACTGATGTTGTTAAGTTGATTTAATCTATTAAGATATTCCTACTTTGTAGGTAAGTTGGGTTAGTGTTTCATACCACGTTTAAGTGTGGTAGTTGTGATGTAAGGTTATTTAAAAGGGCCATTTGTTTTCATTCAATAATAGAAGAGAACTTTCCCTTCATATTACTTTGTTTTTATCTATGATACTAACAAAAATATTTTTTTTTGTTTCTTTATGAATATCATCAGGTTGCAAGCACAAAGTGCACTAGCTGGAACTGGAGCAGCAGTTGTGGCCGTTAAGTATAAAGGACCAATGGATGTGGCCAAGCAGGTTCTTAGGTCAGAGGGGGGAGTGAGAGGTCTTTTCAAAGGTTTGATTCCCACAATGGGACGTGAGATACCTGGAAATGCGATAATGTTTAGTGTATACGAAGCATTAAAGCAACAGTTCGCAGGAGGCACTGATACCTCAAGCCTAAGCAGAGGCTCTCTGATTGTTGCAGGAGGTTTGGCTGGTGGTTCCCCCTGGTTCCTTTTTTACCCGACCGATGTTATTAAAAGTGTGCTTCAAGTAGATGACCATAATAATCCTAAATTCTCTGGTGCATTGGATGCTTTCAGAACGATTAAATCCTCTGAGGGATTCAAAGGGCTATATAAGGGTTTTGGTCCTGCAATGACGAGAAGTATTCCTGCAAATGCAGCATGCTTCTTGGCATATGAGATGACAATATCAGCTTTAGGATGATTAGTTCATATGGTAAAGCTTGATCTCAAATGCTCATGTTACTTTCTTTCCCCTTTTGTTCCCAAAACTTTTTCTTTCCATCGATTACCATATAGCCATACATGCTTGTCTTTTGTCATTGCTAATAAAAAGTGGTCATTCTTTAACCTCAATTTTTACATACATTATACATCCTTAGCATTTAATTGCTTAATAAAAATAAACTAAAATCTATACCTTGAATTTTAAAACACTCTCCAGAATTCTTCTCAACAAATAAACTGTAATAAAGCATGCATGCAGTATCACCATAAAAATCTATACCACATCTTGATTATATTGCAATAAATTGACAACACATTTTCCAAGACATCGATAACTGAATTTCCAGCACAATTTCCACTTTCATAATGATTTGGATGAAGTAAACGATCTGCTATTGTAGTAGCATGGACCTTTGGCCTCTTTATTGTTCTTCTTTTCAATAATCTCTAAATCCACTTGAACCACTGTAGGGAGCGGGATCTGCTGTGTATCTGTGAATGTTTTAAAAATGATCTGCTTGTGCCTGTTGCACTTCCAGTTCCACACTGCCTTGCTTGTCTGCATGGTCCTCCTATGTAAAGATCCTTTTCTCAGATGGACGCATATTATCCTCATGATATTCCTCCTGCGAAGCATGAGAAACATCCAACTCTTGCACCCTCGCTTGGTTTCTTGCATGTTGTGCATGTGGTGGTGTATCCAACTCTGTGCTTATGTTAATCTAGTGTTTTTTTTTGTTGGAAGTAATTCATATTCAAAAGATATTATTATTTAAAAGCAGCAGAGCTTCTTGGGTTACACCCAGAAGTATGCTTAGTTCTTGGGGTTCTGGGTCTGAGTTTACTAGCGTAGCAGTTAAATTTAGTATTTTCTAGTTTGTACCTTTTAACTTAGTCATTAAGTTTACGTTTTATTAGGATCTACATAGAAATTTATTTTGTGTATAAATAGACTAGTGGTAGTTGTCATTTGTAACCTTCCAATTATTCCTTTTGTAAGCTTTATAGCCATCAGTAAATATATTCTCTCTTATCTTTTCTTCATTTATTAACCTTATGCACCAACAAATTGGTATCTAGAGCTCCGGTTAGATTCAAGGTAAACACGAGTGAAATGGTGAGGCGTTTGTGTGATTGATTTTGATTCAAGGTTCGTGTTGGATCTTGAACAAAAATTTGAACAGAATCACATTTTTTTTATTCTGTGAGGTTAGGAAACATTGTGCTTGTGAGATCTGAGTGAATTGTACAAGGTTAAGGATGAACGAAAACGGTAATCTGAGTACCAAACTTTCTATTTTTGATGGCAAGAACTGGAACAGATGAATGATTCAAATGCGTGTGTTGTTCGGTGCTCAAGATATTTTTGAGCTTGTTACCGAAGGTTATGCTCCAGTTACAGAAAATGCAACGGAAGAGTAGAGAAACGCTCAGAGAGACAAGAGGAAGAAAGATATGAAGGTGTTGTTCTCCATCCATCAACAGATGAGAATGTGTTTGAGGAAATTGCAGATTCGACAACATCAAATGGCATATAGGACATACAAGTCAGATGTTACGGTGGTGATGCATCAATGAAGAAGGTGAAGCTTCAGTCCCTGTGAAAGCAATATGAGAATCTCAACATGAAGAACAATGAGAATGTTTCTGAGTACATCTCTAGAGTGATTCTGATCACTAATGAGATGAAGGCTTGTGGAGAAACCC